ACCAATAGAAACCCACCACTGGCATACATACATACATACATACATACATACATACATACATACATACACCATTCCAAATTTGGAGACTTTTATCCACATTTGAGCTTACAAACTGCCAATCATGCATGGGCTAGGGGAGAAGGCTCTCTCCTTCCTATGTGGATAAAACTCCCCAAACATGGAATATGTGTATGTGTGTGCACGCATGCACTTGGCTGGCAGTAGTTTGGGGAGTGTGGAGCTTGTAGGGCACCAAATTGTCCCCACATCAAGTTAGCCGGTATCACTTGTTCCATCCCGAGTCAACCATGCCCAGTGAGTAGCAGTAACCTGGCCATTCAGTTGGCCATGCCCACCCATCCGACAACGGCCAATGAATGGCATCAAGCTGGCCACGCCCAGTTGGCCACGCCCACCCGGCCCCCTGAGGTCAACCGTAGCCCTGATGTGGCCCTCCTTGAAATTGAGTTTGACACCCCTGGTGTAGCTATATGATACAATATTTATCTTACATGCCTACCTTCATTTATAAATTAATGATGGAATCTAACAGAAATCAAATACCTACCACAAAATAATTCAAATATTTATTTTGACTTATTTATAAGTTAGTTAAATATGATTCATCAAGTGATGTCAGGCACAACCACCAGTCCCCCACATGCAGAGTTTGTTCTCACTATTTGTTCTGACTGTCAACTCCTTTGAACAGTTGACTCCTAGATAAGGCTCCAAGGAACTAAAGAGGGGTCTGTCTCAACACAAGCCCTTTTGCAGTTGTTCAGTGACTCCAAACTAACTCTAAAGTTGAGCTCTCCTCCTTGCCAGGCCGGGTGCTTCCTGACAACTGAATAAGTTAAGAACTGCATGATCAAAGGGATTGCAGTTCTTATCTTACTCATCTGATGAATCAGATTTAACCAATTTATAGATAAGTCAAAATAAATATTTGAACAGAACAATTGAAATGCAGTGATGAGAATAATGGGAATATCAATGAAATTTATATCGATGTCATTTTGATTTTTTTTCCTAATAAATGTTACTGTGTTTGAAAACCTCTTGAATAACAATTTGCTTTCCTCTTTATTTCTTTCCCTTATTACATTTATAAATGTTACTTTATTTATATATCTTGGTGTGTTTTAAAAATGGCTGGTGAATATTTATTTGTTACTTTTATACCACCATTATTATTTTTTATCAATAACTCAAGGCAGTGAATATACTAATACTCCTTCCTCCCCCTATCTCCTGCAGAAAACATCCCTGTTTGGTGCGTTGATATTGAGAGAGATTGGTTAGTCCAACATCACCCAGCCAGCTTTTATGTCTAAGACATGACTAGAATTCATAATGTCCTTGTTTCCAGGCCAGCACCTTTATCATTACAGAAAACTGGTTCTCTTATTATAAACATAAAATTATATTATTATAAATGTGTGTTGTGTTATATTGCATTGCATATGACCATATTATTAGGGGTGAAATTCAGCAGGTTCCGACAGGTTCTGGAGAACCGGTAGCGGAAATTTTGAGTAGTTCAGAGAACCGGCAAATACCACCACTGCCTGGCCCCAGAGTGGGGTGGGAATGGAGATTTTACAGTATCCTTCCCCTGCCACGCCCACAGAACCAGTAGTAAAGAAATTTGAATTTCATCACTGCATGTCATAAAGACTATATCTTATTATAAAAACAGAGCTTAGGACCAACATTATTCCCAGTTAAAAAGAAGTAGATGCTGTGAAGATGAATATTCATGAAAATCAATTGGATGTCCCCAGAGATTGACATAAACTTTTATTATATAAATATTTTAAAGTAGATAAATAATAAATTTTCCACAACCAGAAATTTCCAGATGTCTATCTCCTATTATATCCTATGTCTGGAGAATTGTTTTAAAGTACAAGTTCAAATCAAAATTAATTCTAATCCATCACCACTCAAATATGAAGTATTAAATGCAAAGCCCATTTTAATTAAATGTTACATACATGGAGATATTTTCTCATCTGTGCTGCAGAATAGCTGCCACTGTTGACACATACTCTGGGGTAAGATGATTAAACTGGAGAAACATTTTTAAAAAGCATTTGACAGAAAGAGCTCCATAATTGGTTGTAGAGTTTGGTTTAAGATGGGAGGCTACACAAATACTTTAAATAAAATCATGCATAAAATAATGCAAACCAATTGCAAGCTTACCTTGTAATCAAAGTTTTCATTTAAGAAGTTTTTGCGAAGGGCATCAGAAAGATATAGCACTGTTGTAATAATAACACTATTAGAAAAACAAAAGATGGATTATATATTTAATTGTTCACATAGCAATATACATATTGTTTTATATCTTTGTTCTTATTTTTCTATTAATCTAGTTTGATGAGGACCCTGGGGAAACAGACAGGCATTTTATTCTGTCTAAATAGTCAATATTCAAAGTTTTGTCTCATGAGAAGGCTGCCAACTTGGAACATTTCTGGGACTATTTTATGCTATCTTAAAAATATTTTCAATTTAATGCATGTCTTTGTTATTCACTAGAGAATGAGAAATATTTAAGCTATAACTGGAATAAAATAGACATCTCATTGATAATCTCATTAACTACCAATCGTAAACATAATAGATGATAGATAGACAGACACACAGACAATAAAATATTTACATTCAAATAAGATCACAAGGTTAAAAAAAGCTTTGACGTTCCTTGGTTTGCATTATAAGGAAATAAAATTTGTTGTCATTTTATAAACAGAAAGTAATAAGCACACAATCTCAGTATAAATAGATCCATATTATGATTATATTTGTATTTAAGAAATCTTACTTGTTAGCAACTAAACGCATCACTGTCCAATCTTTTGGAAACATTTCTGGCTGTATTAATATTCGAAAAACAGTAAATATTTGTAACAAGAAATCCTAAGAGAAACAAAAAGCCTAAATTATTTCTTATGATAAGAAAAATATACTTTTAGCAAATTTCTTTAGCAAACATTAGAAAAATTTCAAATCAAGAGAAAAATATATTCTAAAGGGAAAAAAGACAATTCTTTTTGCCACTCCAGAAAATTTTCAAATAATATCATAGTAATTTAGCTGCTTATAATGAGATGGGAAATGGAGAAAAAGAAACAAACTTTGATTCAAAGATCTATTTGAAAAATATTTAAATTCACGGTAACAGATAGATTGGTCTCAAGCACTACTATCATTGTGACTTTTTTTTTTACAAATTGAATTATGTAAGTATAAATGGTTTTAAAAGTCAATGAGGATAATTCCTATTGGATTTCCTTGCTTACTATGATTCTCATCAAATTACACCACTGTGAATTCTGCATTATAGATTCAAATGAAAACAAGCTGTCATTTGAGTAATCATTCCCTCCACTTAAGCAGTTTACATTTTAAGTAGCATGCTCATTCAAATCCAGAATGCACAGTATCTGTTTTTTTCCCTTAGGGAAAAAAGTAGTACTTACTAAAAATTCTTTCATAACTGAAGAAGCTTCTTGGATGAGAAGCAAAACGTCTTCAAGCAAAAACAAAGAAAGTCTAGTTGCCTTGTCAATTCATATGAATGCTTCAGAATATGAGACAGGCTTCAGCATTAAGATAAGACATTCAAGGAAAATTTCCCTTTCTTTCTATAAGCTGATTACTACTTTTCCTATGGCAATTGATGAATGTAAAAAAATGATAATCATCTAGCAATATTAATTCCACTTTGTAAAATAAAAGCAAGAATGCTTTATTTTAAATGCTTTTTGAAAATAAGAAAATAAATTACACCATAGTACTGAATACTATTTACTCTTTCTTCAGATTGTCTTTATTTGGTTTCTATTAAGCATTTCTTGTGACCTTATATTACATTTATCTGAATTTATATTAAGCTTATCTTTATTTTAAGATTTCATTCTCACAAGATACGTAGATATAAAGAAATTTCTATATAGACAAAAATGCCATACAAGGCCTAGAGTTCCCAAATCAAATTGAAATCAGGCCTGAGACTTTCTTTTCTTTAAATATATATAAGTAGTCCTCAACTTATGATCACAATGGAGCCTAAAATTTCTGTTGCTAGGCAAGGCTCTTGTTAAATGAGTTGTGCTTCATTTTTTTGCCACAGTCATGTGGTTGTTAAATGAATCTGGCTTCCCCCATTAACTTTGCTTGTTGGACAGCAGCTGGGAAGGTTGCACACGGTAATCTCATGATCCCAGACCCCAGGACAGTGCAACTATCATAAATACATGACAGTTTTCAAACATCCAATTTTTGATCACGTGACCATAGAGATGCTGCAACTATTGTACATGTAAAAAATGGTCATAAGTCACTTTTTCAGTGCCATTGTAACTTCAAACAATCACTAAACAAATGGTTGTAAGTTGAGAACTACCTCTATGCATGTTACATTTGTATATTGATACACACACACAAACACATTCTTGTCAAAAGGCCCATGCCAAAAAAGAGCAAAAGCAGAACAAAAACAAAGGAAAAAAAGGTATAACTAACTGCCTGTAAAAGAAGGCAATCCACTTACAACTGTAACTGGATTGGCATATGTCAGCCATCTGCCCCTTATACAGATACAACAAACCATTCCCAGAAGTACACAAAACCTCTCCTCCCCTTTTCCAGCAGAAACAGCAGAGAAGAACGGGACAAGGAACAGGATGGAGATGGGGAAGGAGGAGCTGAAAGGAACAAACCTGGATGGATGTGATGAATGGGAAAGAAATAAGAGAATAGATCAAGAAAGAAAAGAAAAAGAAGACCTGTTCAGGCATTTAAAAGAGATAATTCAGCAGACAAGTAATCATTTCTATGACAATTCATCTTCAATAGGATTCACTCTTGAAGTAGCTTCATTATAACTTGATTTGGCATATTTTCTTTTTTTTTAAATGGATCCCAAATCATAAATTATTTAGAAGCGAAATATTTTCCTATCAGAAGAATGTGGTAGTCAACTTGTTCTTCTAAATTAAAAATTGAGTTATTAGTTACTCTTTCTACCTAGAGCATGGGTGTCAAACTTGCCGCATCACGTTGCCGTCACGTGACATTTCGTGATGTTTCCCCATTTGTGGAGCTGAGGTGGGTGTGGCCTGCACATGATGCATCCGGCCTGCAGGCCACCAGTTTGAAACCCCTGACCTAGGGAGAGAAGCACTAAAAAAATTGAATTTGCAAAGTATGCCGGAGAATAATGTTATTCATTTTCCACTCCACCTAGTTACTGTCCAGGCTTAAGACTGCCTTAGCATATGTAGTCATAGCTGTTGCTTTATTGAATGCCTCTAGAAAGAAGATAAAGTTGCATTAAACATGCATATTTTCTGGTGTCCCATTGTTTTATATTAAAGGCAAAACAATATAACAGTTCAGGTAGTCCTCAACTTATGACCACAACTGAACCGAACATTTCTGTTGCTAAGCAAGGTAGCTGTTAGCAAGGCACATGAGTTGTGCTCCATTTTACTACCTCTTTTGCTACAGCTGCTAAGTGAATCACTGCAATCATTAAGTGACTCACATGTTATTAAATGAATATGGCTTTCTTCATTGACTTTGCTTGTCAGAAGCTGGCTGGGAAGATTACAAATGGTGACCCTGGAACAATGCAACTGACATTGCCAATCACCTGAATTTTGATCATGTGACCATGGGACTGCTGCAACAGTTGTAAGTATGAGAATTGGTTATGTCACTTTTTTCACTGCCATTCTAACTTTGAATGGTTGCTAAGTGAATAGTTATAAGTTGAGGACTACCTGAGTAAAATAACTAGCAATAAAAAGCCCTTGAATAAAATTTGAATAGTTTTTTATACATTTTGCTTCTATATTCTACTCTTTTCTGTCTGCTTTATTTCATCTCCTCTTTCTTGCTAATGATCTCTGCATAGAGCAGAGTTGTGCAATTTTGTGGCCTGCAAAGAGGCCATGCATGCTAATTGAAATTAATGCTCAAGATAAAATAAATTTAGTGAAGGGAGACAGGCAGACACACAGTGCCTAACATCTTAGCATCCAGGAGGTTTCATTTACATTGCATAGTAAATTGAAATACATTTTATAGTTCTCCACATTAATTTATACCCAAAGGATTTCTAGTTATGGAACGAACACACGTGCCATTAAGGACAAAGAAATGGACATATAGTATATGATCATGAACTGAAAATGCCGCAGAACATGAATGACTATTGAAATGATGTAATTTTGAAATTTTGATGATATCATAATAAAATCAGTTTCTGGTTTGAGTTAGGCAGTAGCAGTTACCCTGGAATATACTACTGTGCTACCCCAAAATATTACCTCCCCCCCAAAAAACACACCCTAGTCCAATTTTCACACCTTACACCAATATAAGCCCTACCCCCAAAATAAACCCCAGTTAAGCCCTGCCTATATCTGGCTTGGATGAGGCGCAGGTGTCAAAATCAAGCTAGGGAGGGGATGGCGGTTCCCCATGCATCCCACACCCACTTACCTCATTGCAATGATGAAACAACTCACGGCAGAATACCCCGAGGCTCCTCTTGCCACTCAAGCCGCTTGTGGTAGAATGCCTTGAAGCTTGTTGCTCCAGTGGAGCTGCTTGTGGCAGAACACCACAAAGCTCGTTGTCTTGCTGGTGGAGCTGCTTGCAGCACAACACAATGAGACTCGTTGCACCAGTGAAGCCCCTCGTAGCTGGTTGCTGCATGGTGTGTTGTGGCATTGCCCATACAAGCAGCAGCAGCACCAGTGAGACTAATTGTGCCGTGATCGGCTTCAATGACAACATGAGCCTCGGGGTGTTCTGCAAGTGGCTTCACCAGCGCAACAAGCCTCATAGCATTGTGCCATGAGCAGCTCCACTGGCATGATGAGCATCATTGGACCAGTGGAACCATTCACGGTAGGCCTCGAGACTCATAGCATCAGTGGAGCTGCTCAGGGATGAACGCTGTGAGGTTATCTGCGCAAATGTAGCTGCTCACAGGAGAAAGCTTCTCACAACAGAACTTTATGCCCAGATGGAGAAATGACAGAGATTCAAAGCTTCATGTGTTTGCAAAAGGGACAATTTGAAACGGCGGTTTGCAAGCAGACAAAGCATTGTTTTCCTCTGGGCTAAAAGTATTTGGGTACTACCACCAGCCCTGCCCTCTCCGTCCCACAGCCTCAATCAGGGCCATGCTTTCGGAATGCCCCAGCCTCCAGCCACCCTGTCAGGAGGGCAAAGTGCCTCCATGGTGGAGGCCAGGGCATGCTGAGAGCTTGGCCTGTTGCAGCCACAGGCAAGCAGACAGTGAGACAGAGAGGGCCAACAGTAGCTGTACTCCCACTCCCATTGGCCCCTGCATTTGCTGCCTCCTGCACTTAACAAAAATAAGACCTCCCCCCAAAATAAGCCTATCTGCTTATTTTCAAGCCCAAAAGGTCTTATTTTCAGAAAAATACGGTATATACCCATTGTGCATACAGAGTTTTATTAATTGATAACTATAATTTATAAGGTTGCTTGAAATATAAATAAGCCTGCAGATATGAGTATTTAACTATCAATCTGCTATCAAAGCTCATCATATTAATTCATCTTTGATTAACATAGCATATTCAATAATGTTACACACTTGACAGGATAGAGCTGTTTTTATACTATTAGAAATGTGTTTGGGTTCTTAGTTGAGGTGAGAAGTAGACCAGAGAAACCACTGCTGGATTCTTCCAATGCCTGTTCCTTTAGTCTAGAAAGATAATTTCTGTTCCTTTAAATGCACACCTAAATGTCTATTGAGATTCTCAGTCATCCATGTCATGGTTGTCCAAAATATACTTTTTTCAAGAGGGAACTGGACTTCTATTGTTTTTCCTTGAAGATGTTTCGCTTCTCATCCAAGAAGCTTCTTCAGAACTTTATATAGATGAAACTAGTATATTATTGTTTATTATTCTTATAGGGGTTTTCTAAACATGTTGTCTGCTTCTACTAATTATTTTGACCATTATATCAAAGCTGTGCTGGTTGATACATTATATCACTGATCCTATGTCAAGAGAACACACAAATTATAAAATAAATAAATAATCAATCCTGGGAAGAAAAATACTTACTCTCAGCATGTCTCTTGTCTTGAATCTGTCAAGGAGTTGCTGGTAATGTCTGTCAGTCATTTGTCGCAATAATGACAAAAGACAGGAAACAAACTCCCCCTAAAAGAAATAAAAAAAGAAAAGCTTTATAGTCTGAAGGGATGAAAAAAGAATTTTTTTCTATTGATTACTATATACTGTATATTTTGAATGGCTAAGTAGAAGAAATCTCCTTTTGAAAGATTCTGCTTAATCCAAAATACTTTTCCTATTTGGTGTTCTTAGGCTACATTTCTAAACTGACATATTAATCAGTAGGCACATTAAAGATATACTTTGATATCCTGGCCACAGCTTCTTGTTGAAGGTATATTCATGTGTTCTTATATTCAATATTTTAAAATGAGATTAGTCTGATATATACAGTATATTAATACTATGGCCTACTATACATAATAGTAGGTGAAAAAAGCAACTGAAAATAGCCTAGCGATTATAGAAATTATTCTGGTGAGGAAAGATACAGTAGTTCACAAGTTAGAAGGAATCATTATATTAACATATGTTAGATAATTCCAAGGACATGAAGAGAATGTCCAAATAACTTTTGACACAGAAAGTCAGGAGGAAAAATTCTAGAATTTTAATTAAGGAACCCAGACCTTTATAAAGGCTTTAATTTCTATATACTTTGGTGAGGACAAATGCATAACTTCAGTCTTGCCAGTAGAGCAAAAAGGCAACAAAAGAAGGAGCAGGGGCACAAAAGATCAGCTCCTAATTGATAAAATGCTATTAGAAAATTGTAAGAACAGAAAAACGAACTTGAATATGGTCTGGATTGATTACAAAAAGGCATTTGACTCACTGCCACATAATTGGATCCTAAAATGCTTAGAAACAACTGGCATTAGCAAAAATATTACATATTTTTGAAAAGGCAATGAAAGGGCAATGAAACAATGGAGAACTGAGTTGGCAGTAGGGAATGGGAACTATGGAATCGTTAATATCAAGCACGGAANATGTTTTTTGGAACCTGATACCAGGGCTCTTACACACACACACACACACACACACACACACACACACACAGTATGAATGATACTCAGTAATTTTTAAAAATAATGGCAGGTTTTTAATTAATCAATTAAACTTTTGTATAGGCAGTCCTCAGCTTTTGAGCACTTCTTTAATGATGATTTACAGTTATGATGATCTCATAAAAATGATTTACGATCTGCTCTTAAAGTTATGACTTTAACATAAAGTCACACCACCTCTGCAGTCACGAGATCATAATTCAAATGCTTGAATTTACAATTCAATTGAATTTACAATTCATTGCATCCTGAAGACATGTGATATGCAATATGCAATCTTCTCAGTTGCTTTCTAATTTCAACTGGGGAAGGCAGAGTCTCTTAATGGCCACCGCAAAACAATGCCAAAAAAAATAATGAGTCTGATCATGTGATATCTTGACTTAGACTGCAACAATTCATAGTCATAATCGTGGGCTCAATTACAGTCATAAATTGAGGACTGCCTGTATTTGCCAGGAGAGAGTTGGGGGGGGGGGAGAGAACATCATTCAGAAAGGCAATTTTCCAATTTTTTAAATGATGAGATTCCGTAAGCAGCAAAGTGATAAATATGTCTGAATCTTAATAGAATCCAGAAATATATTTCCAGAAATATATTTCCACCAAATTATTTGTAACTATACAGTCTTGAGCCATGTGAATCACTTCCTTGGTGACTGAGAGGAATTGTTCAAAACCCAAAAGTTGTGGAATAAAGAAGAGGCATACTTCTGCTTCTTTCAATCCATGTGATACCTGACCCCTCTGCGGAGATGCATTTATCATTCCCTGGACTCCATCAATCAATTTTTCTAGGTAGATCAAATCAATCTTGAAGGATGGCTTCAAGACTCGAAAGTTTGAATTAATCTCAGAAAATGTGACCAGATATCATTTAGATGCCTCAATCAAACTTGCGTCAGCTGAGGCATGGACATGTTGATAAGCTATTTTATCCTTAAATACCTTGCAACATGACATTATAGGTTGTCTGTATGCTTTGGCACAGAAGGTGTTTGTGGGTGCATAAAAAACCAAGTAATATTTGGCTAAGTCCAAATTCCAAGTAGTACTTATTTCTTTTTCATAAGATTTTTAAGGGGTCTCTCTCCCCCCCCCCCCCNTCACCTTCTCATTTTTGATAACTTTTTCCACTTTATGTTTCCATGACTTTCTGGATACAGGTAAATCATATTTTTTACATAATGACCAGTGGATTAATTTAGCAACTTTGTTGTGTCTAGCTTTGTAATCAGTTTGTGCAATTTTGCTGCATTCACATATTAAATGTGAAACAGTTTCAACTTTGTTATTGCAAAGTTGGCTGTTGTTGTTGTTGTTGTTGTTGTTGTTGTTATTATTATTATTATTATTATTATTATTATTATTATTATTTAGAGTAAATAACATGGCATTATTTATTTATAATTCTGAAACTAAATCAAAGTACAACTCTCTGGACTTTTGGAGCTAAAGAAATACTTGATGTTATAGCCAAGTTTATTCCTTGTTTTTTTCTCCTGCTGTTTTTTTCTTTTAAATTCCATTGATTAGAATTTGTATTTTATTTCACAAGACACCCCCAGATAGACAGCAACATCTTCCAAAAAGTTAAGGAAAAAGATTGACTAAATGTGCTTTTCTAATATGTTAGCAATATACCACATCATTGTATTAGCAATTAGCACCAGAATACAGTAGAATATACCAGGTTTACACTCTATAAAAATAAACAATTTAAAAAATATATTCCAGGACTCAAACACTTATGAAAAATTCCCTCAGTTACTGGCATTAAGGACAGACTCCAGTCCAGGTTAATACATCGGTAATATCTCAACTTTCAATTATGTTTAACTGTATATAAGTCTTATGTTGACACCGAGAAGATCAAGCCAGAATCTTGCCATACAATATTTACTTGGCTTTTCAATATAAGTTAAAAGCTTTTTGAACCAACTATTAGTCTCAGGATTGAATAAGGAAATCACACAGTTCAGTGGAGCTAAAAAAATAGTCTTAGAATTATACGAGAGGGTTCTGAATTATTTGTGGATTGGTACTTAACAAACCAACAATCTAAACCTATCCAATTTTTGCTTCTGCCTTCATTGCCTTATCTGAGTGATAAGTGAGAAACTGCACGATTTCATTTCTAATATTCATGAATGCAGGCAGCGAGCAAAAAAAGAAAAAGAAAAAAAGAACCTCTCAAGGAACCCTGGCTTCTTAGGCCTATTTGAGTTCCTCTGAATGTTTTCATCTGGATCTACATTTTAAAGATAACCTACCTCATTGAAACGTCCTAGAGTACCCATTGCAGATGATGAATTTCTTCACATTTTACAATCATTTCTGAGCTCCCAAACTGCACGAGCAATTACGTATTAGGGAAAATTTCATATAAAAATAAACAGTTTCCCCAATAATTATTGTACACTAAATCAGAATCGAGTGAAATGGAATATATAGAATTGGAAGTAGATTGATTTGCCCATTCCTTTCCAGGAAAGAGGGCAAAAGACTGCTATTTTAATGCACTTGCCAAAGTGTGCTCCCTTAAATGTATGATAAATTATGTCAGCAGCAATAGGCATTTAGGAATGGCTGCTTTGTGCCTATATTTACATATACTGGAAAATGCTCGGGTTATTTTTTTTTCATAACTTTTATCAAAGCAAACTTGAATTGATACCTATAGAAGAAGAATTAAAGTATTATAGCAGTTTATAGTATTTGTATAATGTGAATTACTTGCACAGAGTATTAATTGCTTAAATAGTGTTGTAGGAATTAAGTTGTCCTAGGCTGGGCAGTGCTTACTGTATGCCCTTCCCAAATACTATGTTATATCTCATTTCAGCTACTCTTCTTGGTTTCACGGACACATGTGTAATACTTCATAGGATGCAAATAGTTGTACATTTTTAAAAAGATCAGGAAAGAAGGCAGTTTTCCAGTTTAGCCTACAGTCCAATTTTTATCCAAGCCCTAATATTTCTTGAGTCTATTACATCTATTTATTTGCTATTGTCTTCATATTATATTTATTCTTTTTTTATATATAAAAGCCAGTACAATAGTGCTATCCCAAAGGTGTGTTTTGAAAAGACAGCTGGACTTTCTTTCTTTTTGCTTGAAGACATTTTGCTTCTCATCTAAGAAGTTTCTTCTGTTCAGAACTGAAGGAGCTTTCTGGATGAAAGAGAAACTTCTTCAAGGAAATACAAAGACACCCCCAATTGTCTTTTGAAAAAAAACACCTTTGGGACAACTATGACCGGAATGACTGACAATACCCATATCCAATTGTGCTGCAAAGCAAAATGCAATAAGGTGGAATGGAATGAAAAGAAAGAAAGAAGGAAAGAAAGAAAGAAAGAAAGAAAGAAAGAAAGAAAAGAAAGAAAGAAAGAAAGAAAAGCATAAATATGAATAGAAAATAGGGANACCAGGCGAACCTGGGCGAACGCCCCCCTGGTCACAGCCGATAAGTGATGGTCAAAAGTCAGCTGTGGGTCCAGGAGGACTCCCAAGTTGCGAACCCTATCTGAGGGGTGTAAAATTTGACCCCCCAGCCTGAGCGATGGAACACTGGCCAAATTATTGGGAGGGAAACACAACACAATTTCAGAATGTTTATTTATAGTATTGGTGCATATCATCACCCTAGCAATGAATAACAAACCAGAGCAAAGTAAAAATAATGTATAGAATGAATTAAAATTGCCATCTTGATTTTTTGATCCTTGTGCCTGGTCCTACTCTGGTTTATCAGTATATATTCTTGTATACATCTGGAACCATTCAATTAATATGTCTAAGTAAGTGCTGAGTCCTACTGGTTTGGACCGGTTGAGCCAAACCGGTAGTGATTTGGCGGCCTGGGTCACTGGAACCGGTAGTGACCCAGACCTGCCATGCCCCCAAACTCGTTCTCTGGGTAGCGCCTATGGTGCCGCCATCTTGGTTTTTGCTTCTGTGCATGCGCAGAGCAATTTTTATTGCATGCACCCATGAGTGCCCATTATTAAA